TACAAAGTCAAAATGATTTAGTCTAAACCAACATATAAAATTGATTTAGTCTAAACTAATTCGACATATTTATAATTGCCCTTTTGAAATGTATGTTAATAATATTAAACAAATATTTAGTTAATTAAATAGATGACTTTTAGTTGAGTAGGAAGTTTATATAAGCTACCAAATCATATTCAAACAGAAAATGTATATATAAAATATTAAATGTAGTCGGTTAGGTAAGGTAATACAAAGCCTGCCTAGGAATTTTTACTTTAGACTAAAGATTTTCAACCTTGCGTATAAAGTTTAATAATTAGTTTTGTTACCTTATATGTGCTGTCAATATTTATATTGTCAACATATTCTCTTTTAGTTTGTGATATTGGAAAGTTATATTAATGCAATATATCGAATAGTTATTACATGGAACTATCAATACTGAAACAAGATTAGTATTTAAAGTCTTTGTCTATGATCAACATAGCACACATACCCGAATAAACTCAAAACTCTTCTCTCTTTTGTTTCAATGGCATCATTAACACATCTTCTGCACTTAAACCTTTCAAATCGATGTGGAAATCAAGATTAAGGTAATCCAACTTTATAAGCAGTTCTTAGCCGCATGTGGTCTCACTGTTTAATGATCCTCATCGATGCAAATGTAAGTAACTTTATTAGTGACCTACGCCACTGTAAGCATATAAACAAATGAATACAATGATACATGCATGACATGGTATAATATGAATATTTTCTAACTTTAGTTCTATATGCGACAAAGATCTAACATTAATTTAATTTGTTGACTCATTCTTAAATAGGGTGATAAGATTCACGCAAGTTTAGAAAACGATTAGGTGAAGATTTGGTGAACCAGTTTAATCTTTTCCTGGCTAGATGCAGATTTACAAATGTCAAACTTCTCTTTGATTCAGGCGAAACATCTTTACAAGATAAATATCATATCACAACCGCGTGAGAAACTCTGAATTTTTACCAAGAGCAACGCAACCAGTCAATTACAGAACCATTCTAGATGGAACTTCAGTTTGGATTACTTGATTGGTAAGTAACTAAATTCTTAAATAATCTATGTCAACTACCAGGGTTCCCAAAGTTTTGTATTTTAATCTTACAGATGTAATCAGATATATCGTGGAGGTGACACATCTTGAAGTTGTGTAGTCAATGNGTCAACTACCAGGGTTCCCAAAGTTTTGTATTTTAATCTTACAGATGTAATCAGATATATCGTGGAGGTGACACATCTTGAAGTTGTGTAGTCAATGGGAAAGAAACAAACAAAATTTGGATTGAATTGTGCAATATTTAGTACAATTAGTTTGCTTAGTTATCTTAGAGCTTTATATACTTAGAAAGAGCTTAGGGATATCGACTCCCATTGGTATTATGGAGTAAATTTGCTTTAGATGTTAAAAAAGCTATCTAGCTTTGTGATCAACATTTAGTGCTATGTGTTATGAGGTTTAGAAAAATTAAAATTTGGAAAGGTGAATAATTTTATTTATGTGCATTTATATACATACATATATATATATATATTGAATATAATTTTATGTATATTAATGAATCAAATTATTATATAAAATAGTGATATCGGTTGTTATTTTTGATAAATTTTACAAGAACATGTATATTTACATCGTGGTATAAGAAAATTATAAGAAATTGTACATATATATGTAAGAAAATGTAACTTAGTAGTAATAATTATACATAAAATACAAAATAGGCTTCATATACATACAAAAACGTCTCAGACTACTATAACTATATATTAACAAACTCCCGAAAAACAACCATAAATTTATAATCTATGTTTATAATCTAAATTTTGAAGTGTAATTTTATATATATGATATAAAACCAATTACTTTTTTTGATCAAATGTAGACACATATAGAAATGTTAACTCAAAATAAAAATAAACGTCCTAAATTTTTTTACGTCCCGTAAATGTAAACTATATATCTTTTAACAAAATTATTATAACTTCATAAATTTCTAACCTATATTTATTAAATATTTTATTCCGTGCAAGGCACAGGTTATTCCGAAACAACCAATCCAAAACAAACTAATATGCAAATAAAACAGATATAATATCTTTTTATCTTTAAAAATACAACAAATTTAATCATCTCATCCCGCGCAAGGCGCGGGTGTAATCCTAGTTAATATTATTAGGGAATTTGCACTACATAACTATAGAAACAATTTATATTAGCTATATGGAAAACTACTGTTACATTTTCAATAATTCCCCCGATACCCCTATACCTATGTTACAAATGCATCTGACAAGAAATATAACCTTATCCGTATTGTGACAATCTACGGGGAAAGTGATCGGAGTCTCTTACGGCGATAGCTGGCGAACTCGGGAGGGAATCCATGGAGAGACAGCAGAGCATCCCTTACGCTCTACATTCGGCGGAGGTTGGTTTAAGAAGTTCGGAGTAAGGATCTCCACCGTCTACGATGAGGTTTTTACAGTCCGGGGATTTCGAGTCACTGTCGTAGCATTTCCTTTTGAGGGATTTATTACTCATGTTGTTTGAGCGTGGTGGTATAACATTTGGATCGGTTTACTATGAAAAATACAGGCTGTGAATACCATAGTAAAATCTAAAATATCATGATCTAATAAATCATTTGATTGCAACAGGATTGTTACGATGCGGTAAGAGTTGTAGGTTGAGATTACTAATTACCTTTTTTCTTTCTTTGTCGGAAAAAAAAACTTTTCAAAATTTTCGAGTAATAGAAAAAGAGTCATCATCTGTTAAGAAAATTTTAATATTTTTTCAGATGGTCATTGATTGCTGGAAGATAATCAGGAAGAACAGATAACGTCGATGGGACTAATCCGCAAACGGTGACGTCTCAATTATCGACCAGTGTTATTGTTTCACCGCATAAATACGTTGTTGAACCTAGTTCTTCCTTCCCCGGAGATTAATAACTTGTTCTTCACCGGAGGTAGCGATTTGTCGGAGATCAGTTTGCAGTTGATTTGACACTGAGGGTTAATTTCGGCAAACCATACTCACTAAATAACCAACTCTGCAAATACTTTCAAAAACTGCATACATCTGCAGTTACCTACTATTATTTGTATATTCACCTAAATGAGCCATATTATTATTTATAGGACTTTTGTAATTAGTTTCCCAATACATAAGTATAACTATTGGAATGGGATGGATCATTGGAAACAACAGATGTGTCTTAATTGTGGAATGGACCAGTTTGAAGAAAGATCAACTATCTTGGAAGTAGAGTACTACCCTTCTATTGCAAGCATGCTAGTCTTTAGGTTACAGAAATATCAGTTTTAAAGAAATACTCCCTCCATATTTAAATGTATGATGTTCTAGATTTTTACTTTGTATATAAAAGATTGATGTTTTAAGATATAATTAATGCATTTTTTTAAAAAATTAAACATAAATTAAAAGGTAAAATTATAAGTGGTTGAACTTTATTGATAAAACCAAAACTAATAATTAAAAGAGTTGATTTCTAGTTTCTTAATATATGTGAAAAACCTTAAACATCGTGCTTTTAAATCCAGAGGGAGTATCATTTTTAAATGATAATAACAATTAAAGTGATCATGACAAAGATACATCAATGGAAGATCTTATTTCTAGCAGCAGAGTTTTGATATTGTTCTCGACACACAAATGAATGTGCTGATACATTGGCTAAACATGCCCTCATTTAATTTCTTCTTCTTTATTTGATATTTGCCTAAGGTTTTTGAAACCATTTGTAAATTCCGATATTGTTTGTAATACAATTT